CTTGATGTCTTGTCATTGCAAAACTTCTAAAGTTAAAAAGCTCTAGAGAACAAGCCTTTTACGAGCCATTTTACAAAATGCCTAATGAAATGCCTAATGGCATTGCCCATCTATTTTGAAGAGATTCATTTTTTTCCTGGCAAAGAAAGACCCCTTTAAAGTAATCCCACAGTACATTTACAGTCATTGCAAGATTTTGTACAATGAAGTTAGTCTATTCACAGCCCTGTGTCACTCTGCCACGGACACCAAAAGAAATCCAAAAACAGAGCTGGTCACACATAAAAATAAATAGCCTAGAAACTAAGGGTAGATAAATGCATGGTCAAGCCAGATGTTTGGAAAAGAGCACAAAAATGCATGAAAACAGTTTAGATGATTTGGGGGAAAAGAGATAAAAGATACACTAGGGACAGGTGGCTCCTACATCTAAAAAGATGTCTCAAAAGACAATCTCCTATCATGTATCTTTTTTTTTTTTATTACAAAAACCTCCAAGACAGAAAGGTGATAGTACAAAGTACTTCCAAGTACCCTAAATCCAAGATTCACCTAAAATCCAAATGATTCCACCCATTTTTTTTTCCTTGGAAAAATCTACATGATCCATAAGCAAAGCATGAATTCTAACTAACACAGTGACAATATGGACGTTTAAAACCATTGCTAAAGTTGACACGTATAATGATGCAGTAAGAAAGAAGGCTGATCGAGATGGCAACATGCAAAAGAAGAGCAGAAGTGTGTCCATTTTGAACCGGCATTGCTACTTCAGCACCACAGCAGAAACCTTGCAGAACACGCTATGGAGATGAAGGGTGTAGGCATATCCAGATTTATCCACACACTGGGCTAGTACAGACTTGGGTATATGTGCCACATCCAAATGTATTCTAGAGGTGCATGGTAATAAGAATCGGCCATAAATCTCCCTTCAAGCAACACGCTTGTGAACGTATGAACATTATGAAGAAAATTGTAACGTCACCCTACAATACAGAGATCCTTGGAATAAAGTCTCGGTTTTATTCGCAAAATATTACCTACGGACGGTCGTATGTTTTGTGAAACGGTAAATATATTAACCAATGCGTTGAAAACCAACAAGATTATCTGTCAAATGTCGATAGCATTCAAGCATTCTGTGCACAAGATTTGCATCCCATGCAACACCGCAGTTTTGCATTAATGTAATTGTGGCCGAACTGATGCTCTTGGATTTTTTTCTTTTTTAAACAACCATTAAATGACGACTGGGTGTCTAAACAAACGTGATGGGGCTAACCTGACTCATCAATCTGAGTAATGAAAAACGATAACCAAGAGATGCATTGAAGGTCTCATAATCGAACATGTTCATGGGTGCATGGCTGCAAACGCGGTTCATGCAATGGATTTGACTGATGCTTATTTTGTATACATATATCACAGAATAAGCTGTTTAATACTCGGAATGGTTCAAACCAGATCAGGAAAGATTTATTGCATGGTTTTAATCATTGCAAATCACATCCACTGACAAGCAACCTGGCTGCCATGAGTTGAGCCGCTGCTCTCTGGATGGCACAGGAGGATAACGTTTAAATACCTGCCCGTGGTCTTTTGCATCTGACCCAGTTTATATGAAGTAGCAAGCCGAATATGTCCCCACTCCCTCCCCATTCCCCTGCCCAAAGCCTCGGCCTGTGCATCAGGCATCTTCGGGAACACGGTGTCTTGCGAGGAATAAGGAGGGAACAGGCTGAGCCCTAAAAAGACGATAGCACTAGTGTGTCTGCATGTAAAGAAACCAACTGTAGTCTTACCTCAGCTTCGTGTCCAGCTTCCTGAAGCAGCCATTACCAGTATTCCCCCTCTACCGTCCGAACCTCCGCCACACAGGTACCGGGGCGGACCGAAAAAACCGGCAAAACGACCCCCCTCCCCCCGAACCGCCACCCCTTCGGACGGCTTGCTGTGATCGTCTCCCGAAAAAAGACGAAACGCGCAGGCTATCGTCTTGTCGTCGCTCTAGAAGCCCTCTTCAGCACATTTGTCTTTCTTTTCACAGTCCCCCAAAAGCACAGATGAGCGCGACAGGAGCGTCTTCAAACCCCCGGCGCGGCCAACCGCCAGTTCGATGAGCAGCAGAACATGCAACCGTGACAACCGCCGCAATATTCCGCCTTGACGTGGTGTGTCCCGTCTGCTCGTTAAGAAAAAAATCGCGGCAGTAACGGTGGTGGTGTGTGGGTCTCGGCGGCTAGCGCTCAGGCTAACCGCGATCACATCGCCCAGCAGCGGCAGTATAGTAACGTTAGCGGGTCGCTCACGGTGGTGTTGCAGCAGCAGCAGCAGCGAGGGGGTGGAGGGGTGAGAAGAAGAGTGATTAAATGAAAATGGAAAAAGAAAGAAAAACGAATGAACTAAAAACCGGGGTTTCTTCGTCGCACCGCTACAATTAGCGATGTGCATTCGCCAGGGACCCCCCCTCACTGCCCGTTAATCTCGGATCGGCTCCGCGGCTGCTTGTCGCTTAGAGAGGGTCTGCACGGTAAAGCGCGTCCCCGCTACAAAGCGCGCTCGCTTCAGTGTGTGTGCAGTGTTCACAAAATGGCCGCCTAAACAAACCCGACAACGGGCTGCACCCAGCGGCTGTTAGCGTGATTTGCCTCGGCATTTGCCTGTGTAGGGGAGAAAGACGATGCTTTTACGGGAACAATAATTTAGAAAACGCGCACTCGAGTGCCTTTTTGGCCCGTTTCAAGCTATTAGAAATTGATAGGTTGATTGGAGCCAAGGCAAACGAACAATGCCGAGGCAGTGGAGATGTGAAGCAGCTTGCTTACATAGCTAATCTGCGACCATAAATGGCTATGGCTAAGAAAACATTTTTATCTTAATTTAGCTCAATATTTATATTTCAGCACAACCGTTGTGGGACAAGACAATGATGTGATTAATTAACGTTACTTGGGAAGTTTCCACGTATATATTTTCGTAGGTTATGCGTTATAAGTTACTTTTAAAACAGTTTAAACTAGCTTAAGATGGTTTGCTGGTTACAGTCTGCACAGATCGCAGGTTTTCCTCAAGTTTGGGGTGTTATTTTCTGCAAAAGGCGCATCCCGTTAACTTGAAATTATTTTAAAATAGCTACTTTGTCATAATATTTTTTGACTTAACAGACGAAGACCTTGATGCAAGTTCGTTATGGACTACATGAGCTTTAAAAAGCGCAAAATCATATTACACTACCACCTTTGTCATGTTAAGCATGCTTCAAAAGAAAAAGAAAACAATACGTTGTATTATTCAAGTCACATTAACCGACTATTGACACTAAACAGAAAGCATCTCTCACACACACGCGCGCGCGCGTATTAGTGTGTGTACCTATTTAAGTTAAGTTTAATCGCATCATTAGAATGGTGGGGTGCTCCTTCAGGAAAACATTATATTATGGCAGAGGAGGTCGTGAAGTGGATGTGAAACTTAAGTTAACCGGTCTTTATATACATCCTATTCCTATTTTATCCCCATTACATTTCTCACTGTTCCTAGCCGAGGGCAACATTTAAAACAGCCTGAATGTGTCGTGTGCCACTGTCAATGGGACAAAAAGACAAGGTCACAAATGTGGCCAACTCCCCCCACGCAATGTTCAAAACCTTTTAGTCACACGGTAAGCTCTAATATTCATACGTTTGGATTTTTGTGGGAACGTTCAGACTGAACGTGAAAATGACCATTATGTACCCCTCTCTCTGCTGTTTCTTCATGTGTGAGACCTACCGTAGATTATGACAAAACACAAAGGTATACATTTAAATTGGATATAAATTAAATGGCCCTCAGGTCAACCTAGGTTACGAAAATTTAAACATGCAGGAAGTTCGTCATCGAATTCAAGGTGAAAGTTCATAGCGCTACCTTTACCTCTGCATTACATTCCGATCCGACGCCATCTAGTGGTCTACAAAAACAGTGCAGTCAGTTAATTCAGTCAAAGGTTTGTGGAAGGATTGATCAAAAGTTACAGTAAAGATTTGTATAATGTTACAAAGAATTCTATAAATAAATACTGTTCTTTTGAACTTTCTCTTCACCAAAAAATCCTGGAAAAATGATCACGGTTTCAATCACAACTTATTTCAACTGTAACTGTTTTCAATATTGAGGGGGTTTTTTTCTTGTGGACCAAATCAGCATATTAGAATGATTTCTGAGGGATCATGTGACACTGAAGACTGGAGTAATGATGCTGAAAATACAAAAAAAGTAATATTTTACAATATTAGTTGTACTGTATTTTTGGTCAGATATCATAAAAGCAGCCTTGGTGAGCATAAGTGACATCTTTTAAAAACATTAAAAATCTAACCCAACCTAAACTTTTGAACAGTAGTGTACTGACAGATATGAGAATCCCTGTATACATATTGTAGGAAACTGTAATGTAACATTTTAAGACTGAACAATAATAACATGCACAGGATGCCATATTAATCTATCTTCATACTTTGTTATGGTGCTTATATTGCATTACTTTTAATTTGTTATTGCATAAACCAGTCCAGATCAGGGGTGCGTTTCCCGAAAGCATCGTTAGCCAACTATGGTCGCAACTTCCGTCATTACCAATAGAGTTCAATGGGATTTGCGACCAACTTGCGACCATAGTTGGGTAACGATGCTTTCGGGAAACGCACCCCAGGTTGACACTAACAGTTAACAGAGTTGTCTAATCCATTGCCAAAGTGTAATAAAGTGAAGGTGATGATACACGGGGGAACTTTTTTGAGCAATGTTGCTTGGGCACTTTCACATTGAGAATAGGCAACACATTTCTATCTGAATACTTTAGATCGGTCGTGTGCCCTGTCTCACACCTGGTTGCCTGTTGACGGCAACATTGCTCAAAAACTTGCCCTGTGTATCATCACTTTTAGGTAGGTTTTGTACAAGAAAGCATATAAAGCAACATTTTGTGCTGCTTTACAAAAACACTCAACATTCAGTCACTATTCTTCAGTTGTCTTTTATTAACTGTCACTGCATGCATGAAACAAACAAATATTAAATATACACAATATTAAAATGTGAATTTTAAATTAAAATTTTGTATTCATTCAATGAACTAGACTTTTTCCTGTGCAATACCATCCTTTGACGAGGTATAATGTGTCTTCTCCAGTTCCGCACACCAGTTACCCTGATCATGGTAGCTCCTAAGCACTTTAACACCTGCCACACCAAAACACATCTCCTCCAGCTCTCCCTGCTGGAAGACATGATAATAGCGGTGAAATACGGGCCTCTGGCTTGTGTTGTCCACAGGGACATCTGTGCTACTACTTGTTGCTCCCTTGTTCTTGTCCGCATTCCCTTTTAAGTGCCACGGCACCAGGAGATCTTGGGAAAGGAAAGCTGTGCGGTTAGTATGGACATGGATTCTGGGTTGTGTCACGTTCCCAAAACCATCCTCTGTGCATTTCATGTCTGAACTCATCCTATCATGCTTCTCCGGTTGGTTGGACTTATTTTCTTCAGTTTTAAGCTCCTTGCCATTCTCCATGCTAGTTCCAGTTGTTCTTTCTTTCAGATATTTTGATTTCTGGTTGTTGTACTCCTGCTCCATAGCCCAAACGTAGATCAGAGCTCTTCCTCCCACCTTTAATAACCGGATCAGCTCTCTGACAGCGGCCTGTCTTCTCTCCTAAGAACACAAGCACCTGGTTCAGCATCATGTCTCACTTAATTTTTTAATAATTGTACAAAAAATATAACATGACCCCTTAAAGTGTTTTTCCCCTGAATTAGGGAGGTTGCTCACCTGTGTGGAGAAATGATGAATGACTGCAATGGAGATGCAGGCATCACAGCTGCCACTGCGCAGGGGGACAGACAGCGCATCTGACACGAATCCCTCATGACCTCGTTCAGTGCAGATCTGCACCAGATTAGCACTGCGGTCGCAGCCCACCTACAGATGGACAGACGATAGAGGCTCCATCACAGAACTCCATTTTTTTAAGGGGTTATAGTAATAGAAATTATCTTAATTGTAAGCAGAGGTGTAAAGTCCAGGGCTCAGAAAGTAAAAGTCCTGCCATATGTTTATTCCACCTATGAACTCAGCCAGCTGATTTCACTATTTAGTTATATCACCTGGCTGAAGAACTGTGCTAATTATCAAATCCAGGTGATTGGAACAAAATACTGAGGAGGACTTTTACTTTCTGAACCTGGGGCATGTTCAAGATCACAACGGTGCGCAACGTTTTGCTACGGTTTCCGGGTTGAACGTCATGTTTCCTGGAAACGGCGTGTACCGACCGGTGTGCAATGGGGTTTGAGATGCGTTTTCTCTTGTTTGGTGGACGTGTCAGAACTGCAGTCCAATCAGCAGCAACATGTATATAAAGCACACGGTATTAAAGAGAACTCGCACAATGGAAGTAATTTACAAATGTGTTCGATATGCAACAACTAAGGATATCAGAAGACATGTTTTTCGTAAGTATTATTGTAAAAATATAGGATATCAACATAATGATGTAGTTGTTTATATTTTGAGCTTCATTGCAAGTATGTGACATTTGGTATAGAAATAAACAATGCATGTAAAGTGCTTTTCCTAAAAAGGAGAAAGAAAATACAGGGTATTAATAAAACATTATGAACAACAAGAATGTGAGGCTAAATAGATGTGTTTTAGTCTTTATTAGGTAAGATGTGCTTCCATTTCAGTTTCCACAAATCCCTTCACTCGATTGGGATGTTCTCTTGTGTTCTGGGCGGCAAGTGCAGTAACTGTAACATCGGGCATATTTTGTAGTATTAAACACATATTTATACCGACTTCATCAGGCTCCGAAAATTCTTCACAAAGAACACAAAAAGCCTTCTCAGCTGCCGTAGTTGCAACTCTTGCGTCATCACAACAGTGCGTTCAACGCATCACCGTTTCTGTTTAAAAAACGTTCTGCAACGTTTTGTCGGCGCTGAACGCAGCCCTGGACTTTACACCTCTGATTTTAAGTGATAACCATGAGATGTCTATGGTGGCCGAGAGGTGCAAAACAAATCACAATTATAAAAACAAAATAACAAATCCAAAAACAAAACAACAATTCAGAAAACAAAATAACAATTCAGAAAACACAACGACAATTCAGAAAACACAACGACAATTCAGAAAACACAACGACAATTCATTCAAAAACGGAAAAGGTAGGTATATTTTGAGAATGGCATACTTGTCGCTGATTGGACGAGACACCTGTCAATCAAGCCAGAACTGGAATCAAGCGATTACTGGAAGTACCGAGGGTAGAAAAGCGATTCGTTTTTGGTATTTTAATCAAATAAACTGTCAAATCATGTGTACATATTTTTTCAGTACCGCATGAGCTCATATTCATTTTAATATCAACTATCTAAAAAGTGTGCATCATGCCTGACATCTACATCATGAACAATTTACAGATGGTTTTATGACTGCAAGTCATTAAAATGCTATTGAAGTTAGAAACGTGTGTACCAATGTCGTATGTAACTTTAGAGACGGTCACGGTCCCTAAATGTACGAATATCTAGGCCAGTAACGTTAGCCTATACTTCACAGGGAATCACTTAGCGTAAAACTTTGTGCGTTACGTTCATATTCTGGTCCATCTGCTTACCTGTAGCCAATTAATATAGCCTAAAACCCCAATAAGGTGGGAGTTTGGTCTTTTATTGTACTGTGTTTTGTCCATTGAGTTACTTTTTAAGTGTCCTGACCGCAGGGTGATCAATCCTGGACAATGACGTATTGAGGGAATCCCCAATTCTGCAGCACAGCGCCGAGATATAAAGTTAAGGAAACTAAATAACCGAGAGAAATATATGTCTACTGCTTCAGATTTAACGTTTGATCTGTACATCAGCATCGGGGAATAACATTATAATCTCGTTCACGGTAGAGAAAGCTGCATGTACAAAAGTAACTGTGAAGACTTCAATGTAAAAACCTATTTTTTTTACAGTCTATGGTAAAAACGAATCGCTTTTCTACCCTCGGTACTTCCAGTAAACGCTTGATTCCGGTTCTGGCTTGATTGACAGGTGTCTCGTCCAATCAGCGACAAGTATGCCATTCTCAAAATATACCTACCTTTTCCGTTTTGAATGAATTGTCGTTGTGTTTTCTGAATTGTTGTTGTGTTTTCTGAATTGTCGTTGTGTTCCCTGAATTGTTGTTGTGTTTTCTGAATTGTTGTTGTGTTTTCTGAATTGTTATTTTGTTTTCTGAATTGTCGTTGTGTTTTCTGAATTGTTATTTTGTTTTCTGAATTGTAATTTTGTTTGCACCTCTCGGCCACCGCAGATGTCTGACCAAGTTTAGGTCGCTTCCCGGTAAAGTCTGCTGTGTTATATTACTTACCGACATCACTTTAGGGTTGATCCCCAGGTATTTGCCGTTGCCACATCCGATGTCTGCCAGAACACTACCAGGTGGCAGGGACAGTAGGAAATCTCGCACCTGAGGCCACGGTGAGTGTCGTGTGCTGCTGAAGTGGGAGGAAATCTCTTCATAGACCTGATGGACATACTGTGACTCCAAACGACACGCATCACCTTCAGCAACAGGCACAGTGGGTGGAGAGGGCAGCCGCTGGCTATCGCAGGCAGATGGATAGGCTACAACAAGAAATAAACAGATTCTTGTCATTTTTACATCTAAAAATATACAAATGCAAAGAAACATTCATATGTGATTTTGATGTATATTCACTATTGAAAAAAATTGGGGCCAGTATATGATTCTTTTTGAAAGACGTCTCTTATGCTCATCAAGGCTGCATTTATTTGATCAAAATACAGTGAAAACAGGAATATTGTGAAATATTATGACACATGATCCTTCAAAAATCAGTCTAATATGCTATTTTGTCAGGGTTCATCAAAAGAACAGCATTTTTTTGAATAAAAAAATCTTGTGTTACATTACAAATGTCTTTACTGTCACTTTTGATCAATTTAACCCACTGGTGCTTCTCATTTAGGGGTCACACCGTACTCACCCCAGCAAAAGTGGCCGAACACTTCAAATACAACTTTTTTTTTCCAGGAACATAAATGTAATATATTTTTGTTCAATTGGCTTTTTTAATTTTTTTTATTAATATTTTGTATTTTGAGGGTATTTTATTGTACCAAGTAATATTTATTCAATAATTATGACCCATTTGTTTCCACAATTTTAACAATCCAATACAAATAATAAATCCATACCCTTTATGAATTAAAACAAAAAAATGTTTAATTAATAATTGATTGCTGTGTGCTTTTTTTCTGCATCATGGCTGATTTGTAGATTATATCCAAAAAATTATCTATATTTCTTTTTATTTATTTATTATTATATCCTATTCATTTCAATGGCAGTCATTTTTGACCACAAGGAGTACAAGTGTGATTATTTTTTAGGACCATTTAACCTTTTCGAATCATGTCCACACATTTTTTGTGTTCACATAGCAAGCACCATAAATGTCCCCAAGAGTCATAATTAATTTCTTAAAAAAACAAAACAAAACAAAAAAACTTTTGAACGGTACTGTATTTAGATAAGAATTAAAAAAAAAAAGTAGCTTGCATAAGTAAATACTTCACACGCTCACCACAGTTGCAGGGTGTTTGGCAGATTTTTCGGAAGGTCAGCGATATCCTGGTACCACGGCGGCTCAGGGTCAGATTACTCAAGTCAGAGGTCATGACCCCTGACCCTCCAGCCTCCAACACTGGTACCACATCAAACTTCCGAGGTGTAATGCTGACATGAAACACACACAAAACATGTTCATCTCTCCCTAGAACAAAGAATTTAAAATTATATTATGTTATATATTTTGTAAATAATAATCATTAATTCAATAACAATATTATAATAATAAAATACAAGAGCATACAAAAATCAAAGAACATATGGCTGTAGTGTTTGGTTGTTTGCATATTTTTGGGCATTTAGTCTATGCAGGGTTGATAAAAAAAAAATCCCGTTTCTCACCCGTGAGTCCACAGATAACGGCTCTCTCCTTTCATCACTAGCAGACTTCGCTCGGGCAGCACCACGGCAACAGAACGTCCATCAGGATGTTTAAAGTCCATTACTGTCTATAGGAAAATGGGAGGAAAGACAGAGGATAGATGTTAAACAGAGATATCCATCCATGTAGGAAAATCATGAGGTTCATTTTCCATCTCCATCTTTGTTTTGACAAAGGAAAATCAGATAATCAATAAAGTTGCTGTACCATAACCAATCAATAAGGCTACAAACAGGTCTGGTGTAACAGAACACAATCCCACACTTTATCACACCCATCAACACACACAAAAAAAGTGTTGTTAACAAATAAAAGAAAACCATTAAAAAGTAAACATATACTCATAATCCATAATAAGTGACATTTTATTGCTTCATTTATTCATACCTTTGCACCGAGACTCAAGGAAAGAATGGTGTCTTCAAATGCAGAGTGAGTGTCCACATGAGGAGGAATTCCTGTAACAGACAATAATATTTACTCCTATAAAGAGGCATAAATCTCGCCTCAGGTGCGTGAATACATGATGTACTACCTTGTCCACTTTGGTATTGGTTTACAGTGAGCTGGTCTGGGAGGACACTTATGTGGCCATCATCCAAACATCTTTGTAGTAAAGCATCACATTCTGCCGGCAGGCCTGAAATGACAGGTGTCTATTCATATGTATACTACCACTCAAAACTATGGAGAATATTAATAATTTTATTCGACGAGGACGCATTCAATTGATCAAAAGACAATTATAATGTTGCAAAAGATTTCTATTTTAAATGTTTTTCTTTTGAACTTAGTTTTCATTAAAGAATCCTCAAAAAATGCATCACGGTTTTCACAAATAAATTAAGCAGCACAACTGCTTTCAACCTTGATAATAATAATAATAATAAGTAATATTTCTTGACCAGCAAATCAGCATATTAGAATAAGTTCTGAAGGATCATGTGACACTGAGGACTGGAGTAATGATGCTGAGAATTCAGCTTTGCCATCACAGGACTAAATTTCATTTTAAAATATATTACAATAGAAGTCCTTTTACATTGTAATTCTATTTCACAAATTACTGTTTTTACTGTATTTTTGATCAAATAAATGTAGTCTTGGTGAACATAAGAGACTTCTTTAAAAAAATAATTGCAAAAATCTTATCAATCCCAAATTTGTTGAATATCTGCAACTATTTTATTATCATCAAAATGTGGATTTTTTTTTACTTACCACCGGGTAAAGGCTTGTCTTTGTCCACGTTATTATTATCGTACCGAAATTCATACCCATAATGCTTCACTCTTCTGTGTTTCAAAGCTTTCTGCACTGATATATGAAAATAAAGTGAACATGCTATTATTACTAACATGTTAATACTAATAGGTTTGCCTTCATCAAAATATTATCTGAGGGAATAACTCTGCTATATATAAATATGTGACAAAGATTAAGGAGCGAAGAAACGAGGAAGCATCAATTTGAGTATTGAGAAGCACCCCAAGTATCTCTCACCCGTGACATCATCAGTATACGGTGTCCAATTAACAGCATGCAGCAGTTGCAGCTCCTCCTCTGGAGACACAAAATCCTCCAACACCAACAGACCAGGAGGTAAAGCACAGGATACACTCCGCTCACCGTCCACTGGCAAACAATCAAAGATGAGATGCATTAGAAACACTGTTCAATTTCAAAGCTCACTGAAAAGGATGACATGACCCGTGACCTGTGTAACGCACCTTTCTCGACATAGCTGAAATAAAGTGTCACACTTTGCTCCTGACACTGCAGTGCTCGTCCATTGAGAAATGTATAAGCATTCTGGCATGCTTCAATTGATGAATATGTTACAAATGCATAAGGTTTCGCTGGAGGGGTGAGGAGCGACTCAACAGTTCCTCCCTCTTTAAGAACCTCCAGCAGCGACTCTCTGCTCACTCCATTCCCCAGACCTCCATTAGACACCACCAGATGCTTCAAAACAGACATTCGTAAACATTATTGAGAACATTATTCGTGAACATATTATTGACTGATTTTGTGGGTAATTTATGCAAAGCAATGCACTGCATATTTCAGCATTTGAGAGGCTTCATCAAGATCACTGTTAATGTGAACATAAAATGGTAAATTATTGACCACTCAATTTGCTATGACCTCTTAAATTAAGCTTAAGTTATTTGGCAGCTTATTCGTATCCATTACATGCAAAGACACATAACGTAGACCTTTATTCAATGTGGTTCACTAACGTTATCATTGTTGGTGACATGACTGGAGAAGCCACAAATCATTTATATCTTATTTATATAATAATTTTACTGCATTCGTTTAAAAGAAGTAGTAACAAACAGCTTATATATGTCTACACTGTAAATTTAGTATTTATAAATATACATAATGACAGTAATATAGCAGCAGTAACGTTACATTTAAACTATGTTACTGACTGTCTGAATTGATATCTTTCTGACAATTCGGCAAAAGAAACTTCGTAGGTACCTTTGTGGGATGTGACACTGTGTTTATGCCCTCGTGTTTCAGTAATGTGTGACTGGTTTTAATTTGCCTTCGAAGTAGTTTTTTCTCCTCTTTAGATCTTCTGACACTTCTTAAGCTCTCCATGCTGCTCTCATAGGCTGCTCTCCATTGTGCTACCGCATATTTGTTCCCCCGTTCGCACGAACTACACAGTTGGTTCCTAGAGGCGTGTGTTCCGGTCTTTTATCTGATTTATTGGATTTTAGTTTTATCGTTTCCATTCTTCGGTAGTGACATTATGAACACAAAGTAAATGTGAAAATGAATCTGTTTTTAGTTGAAAGATAGGAACGTTTCATTTCCAATTGCTGAGAGAATAGAGCCGCATCGAACCATAAATCAGGCCGTTTTCACAGGTTTTGTATCTAAATGTAGCTTTATCAGAGCGTGGACTTTATCCAAGGTCTTTGACCAAGGGAGGTGCCGAAATAGCTCGATATAGAATTTGGTCATAAATGATCAACGTATGTGCTCGTGAGAATTAAGTATTAAATGCTCTTGACATCGTCAACCTCCTATATAGTTTATTAACTTCATTTTTGAGCAATGAACTGAACAAACTGGTAACTTAAAAGTTATTGATTTCGTTGAAAATGTATTTACACTGTCTGTTTATGTTCACAAAACTTCTGGACAAGGAAACATCTGGACCTTTAATTCAGATTCCTAACAATTTCTTTAAATCACAACTAACTAGACATGCTCACACAGTACCTTGCAGGAAAAGTTTGAATATATACCTTTATGATGGTTTCGGAAAAGTCTAGGTCACTTGTCAGATAGGATGGGATAAAACCAGATCGACTAACCTAAACCAGCTACGGCTGGTTTAACAATAACCTAGTTATACTAATTGATCTCAAAATGGGTATAAACCCATATCTAGCCCTTCTATGGCAGCAAAACAAAAGGAAGTTTTGAATTGTTTCAGAGATTTGTGAGGTTACAAGCATAATACAGAAAATAGGAGATGGAACATGAAACAATGGTGTTTTCTGTAAATGTTAAAAATTTACTAAAAATATTCAAACAAACAAAAACAAATGTTTTTGGAAAACTCTTGATTTAGTTAACATAACACATTTAGCTTCCAATAATTCTTACAAGCAAAATACAAAATTCATCTCTCAGTACAGTATATTACATTACAGAGGATGATCATACAAAGGAAAAACAGGAGCAGAGATACTCTCCATAAACAATGTTGCCTGAGCCATTCGGGTACAGCGGGATACACTCCCATCCAAGCGGAAACAGGAAAATGGTTCAGATATATCAGTCTTTTGTCATCTGCAAACTTTGGGTCCATCTAGTGGCCGAAGCAGTTATTTCAGGAGCAAAGGAGGATGTGAATAGTGATGACATATTTCGAGACCTCATTTCTTCTGCTTGGGTGGTGGTCTGCAAAAAAAATAACAATAAAAATGAGCAAAACACTGAGCTATACAATAAACATTTCAGACCACAACTTTAAGATACACAATTGCTACTCAGGCCTAAATAAGGAGCTGCTCAAACCAGGAGGCTTTAAAGTCTGAAAGTTCCTACATGGTTCTTTTAGGTTTATGCATCAAGACTCACCTGTAAATTCCCACAACAACTGCATGATCTCTCTCATACGGCTCTAGTGTCAGCTGCTCCTGAGGTTTCATGTTCTCAGAGCTCATCTTCTTAACCTCTGACGCAAACACTGCCTCTGGAGCGGCTGTTGAATCAATGCAGTTAGCCTGATGAAAAGAAAGGAAAAGTTAACAACTGAAGATTTACAGCAGCAAAAACATGATCAATGTCAACATATTAGCAGCATTACACTACCTTGATTGAAATAACAAAATGGCCTCCATTTTTCAGGAAATTGTGTGCATTGAGGGCGACGATTCTTGTTTGATCAGGCTGAGCAACATCAGCAAAGATGACATCCACCATACCTTAAAGAAAACAGCAGTGCTTTAATAAACAAGCTTGCAATAAGCATTCCCTACTCTTCAAATGTTCACATTACAGGAACTTACCAACAAGCATGCGGTACTTGTGCGGGTGTCGTGCATCTTCAATGATGGGAATAATGTTGGTTCTCTTTTTGGCCACATTCAGCAAGTCTCTGCCTGATCTGTGAGAGAATTCGACAGCGTACACCAACCCCTCCTGTGAAGAGCAAATTAATCAAATTTAGACAATGTCAAAAAAGACATCCATAAATACTCTGCAAGCCAAACCAACAATGCAAAACATAAAAAAAAATAATAATAATCCACATACCGGTCCAACAATGTCAGAAACATGGGATACAGTAGTCCCTGATGCGGCTCCTAAGTACATGACCTTTGCTCCCGGCTTGATGTGGATCTGGTCAACACCTCCTAAAATGGCTGCAGCCAGCTTTGACCGGAAAGGATTCCATGCTCTGTACTCAATTTTAGTTTCCCCTTCCTTAAATCAGAAAAAAATAATATGCAATGAATACAATATCTAGAACTACTCCAGTGAACATCAGAGACATGCTACTACAGGCTCACCTCAACATTTATTCTCTTCTCTCCGTACACAGACTCTCCAATCACCATGTTCTTTGTGACCAGTGCATCCTCCTTACCACGGCAGATAAACACTCCTGTCATTTTAAACAGAACCTTAGCATGTAACAATGTCAGCAACAGCAATTTCAACTCCAAAATGTAGCTGATGATTTCTGCATTTGAGAAAGTTGTGACATTGATGTAGGGCTGGGCGATAAAACGATAACGATAATTATCGCGATATAATTTTTCTCGATAAAACGATATCAAGAGTTCGATAAATGTTCGATAATGTGTATGCGCCAAAAGCGGAACGAAACTCATTTGAACCGCGCGCCACACGGAGCATTTATCCGCTCGGCTCAAAGTCCAAACAGCAGCGCGCGCAAGCCTATGGCGCGAGCTCACTAAAGCAGATGCGTTTACTCTCTGATCGGCCTCGCTCACGAGATCCAGTGAGAAGCGATTGAATTCAGCGAAGAACACAAATGTCTCAGTGATTTAAACCAGTTTAAAGGCAGATGAAACACCGCTGACAAACAGGAGAAACACTGCGCGCAACGATACAGTCAGAATCTGAATTGATACTGAATTCATGTAGCCTACCATGGATTTACTGTAACGTTAGCTTAGTAATATTAACTGCACCATGAAATGTGGGATATACATATTGAATTGTATAATATTATTAATGTAGACAATGTATTAAATGACTAATGGAATATAATTACAGTATTTAATAATGTATTTAACTGTTAGGCTACTGTTTTTCATACAAATACCATAGAAACCATAAAGTTACATTTTGCCATGATAGTGAGGTGCTATAGGTTATGCCTGGCTTTATCTGTGGTTATCATGATCTAAATGCATGATACTGGATGACCAATGGTTAATTTTAATAAAACTCAAACAGTCAGAATATTACATTTTACCAAATAAAAATGTGGTCCTTAAATAAATAAAAAAACAGATGTTACTGTTTTTGTTAATGAACATAAATTTAACATAGTAGCATTAGCTTGAGTTAGGATTAGGGATGTCCCGATCCGATACTCAGGATCGGTATCGGCTCCGATACTGCCATTTTTGCGGGATCGGGTATCGATCAGACATCGATCAGACGAGGCCGATCCAAATCCGATATTGTGGGTATACTATTATGTGTTATTGTTAAGCCCCACAAAAGGCACAAAAACATTCTAAAGTACCATAACGTTTTTGTGCACTCTATTATAAGGGTTCTGAAGCCATTATGTGAGAGAGAAATTAATATTTAAGTCATTAAATTCAAGATCACGTAAACTTTTCCCTCTCGCGGCTGTCAGTCATTCTCCATTCAGCATTCAAACAGCGCGTCGAGTTCGGTTACAGTCAATGATGACACTATCTTCAAGATGATTCAATGTTAATACTATTATACTTGATCTGTAAGATAAAGGTCTATGTTTTCGCATATAACAACTTTATCTTGCTGGACTTTATTGCTGTAACTCAATCGTGTTACTCTCTACCGGGTGTCGGACGCTGTCGGTTTGATCCATAGGGTTTGATCACAACACTAGAGTCAGAGCACTATAATTGTTCTTCACGCGCACAGTAACTAAAATTTAAAACTGTTAAAAGAAAAGGCTCAATAAACGATTGCATAGATAGATACTGTATAATACACTGTCCATCAATATGTATCTCCGTTGTGCTTTGAACTTTTCAAAGCGGACTCGACGCGCTGCGTGCTGTAACTCCACGTGGCTTCAAGCGCATCATTCTCCGCTCGGGATGCGCATACGCGCTTTGTGCCGCACTGTATTGAAGCCTTTCATATCATAATGCAGTGACGCAATTAAAGCTTATTAACATTAATAATTATTAATGTTGCTGCCTCATTAAATAGCTGTGCAATACACTTAAAACATGTCTCAATTTTATAGCAGATTTAGCTATATCTAAAATAATTATCTTTTTCATTTTTGTTACCCTTGTTTTTCATGAATGTATTTTACAACAATAAGAAGAGCAATGTGTATTATCCACTAATCTAGTTTATAATAGCATTTTTGTCATAGATTATGATCATATATTTTGGGGATTTGTTGTTTATCTTTATAATGAAGCTGTCTGTATTAAGTAGATTGTGTTTAACACACACAAGAGTGTTCAGTTATAGAAATTCTACTTGATTTAAAAAACAAAAACTGTACTGGTATTTACAATGTAGAATGCTGCTGTTTAAATTGTTTTAACTTTAAACCTGTTGGTAGCTAGCTAGCTTTAAGTACTGAAGTATCTGTATTTTCTTTCATTTATATATTTCTTTATTTTTTTGTAGTGTTTGAATAAAGGGTGGCAATCTTTCATAATCAACTGTTGTTGTGGACTATATAGGAGGTATATTTTAGGTGGCTAATTGAGAAAATTGCTATATTTTTTATTAGTTTAAGAATAAAATAAAAATATCGGATTAATATCGGTATCGGCAAAAGCCAAAGCTTCGGTATCGGTAGTGAAAAAGTGGTATCGGGACATCCCTAGTTAGGATGTAGATTTACTGTCAACTCACTGTCAAATATGCATTTCGAGACAAAACATGTAATTTGAATATTGCAGCCTGCACTGCAAACTGTGCTGAAGAAATATTTTTCTATTCAGATATTTATTTTGTTAAGGAAAAATGACAAATGTTTGAATGTTCTACCTCAAATTTTTAAAACCACAACGTTCTGGTTTATACAACATTCACTTAGGAGCAAAAATCTGCCTTTAAACTTGAAAGAAATAAAGATTTGACATTTATCCTGATAATTATCGATATCGACTGATATAAAAAAAATTATCGTGATACATTTTTTTGGCCATATCGCCCAGCCCTACATTGATGACCCACCTTCATGTCTATGGGGCTCTACGGTCACCCTTTTGCCCCCTCTGAACCCTCCTCGTCCACCTCCACGGCCTCGAGGAGTGCCACGGAAACCCCCTCGTCCACGGAAGCCCCCATCATCTCCAGGGGACCTGAATCCTCCACCTTTATCAAACAAGAGACAGAAATGTATCAAAACAGGAAAAATACACTGCACATTTTTCTGACATTCTAAACTAAAAAACAAAGGGTTTATAAAAAGCGCAGAAACATTATATATAATGTTTGGAAAGTTTTTGAAAGTCTCTTATTTTAAATTGTAATATTTCAAAATATTACTTTTATCTGCATAATGGTTTTCTATTTGAATATACTTTAACATATTTATTTCTGTGATGTAAAGCTGAATTTATCAGCCATTACTCCAGTCGTCAGTGTCAATCATTCTAATAAGCTGATTTATTATTAATGTTGGAAACAGTTGTGCTGCTCAATATTTTTTTTTAAACCTGTGATACTTTTTTCAAAAGTAAAAAAGAACAGCATTTATTCAAAATATAAATCTTTTCTAACAATATAAATCTTTACTATCACTTTGACCAATTTAACAAATCCTTGCTGAATAAAAGTGTTGAAAATATAAAGCAGCACAACTGTTCCCAACATTGATAAATCAGGATATTAAAATTATTTCTTAAGGATCAAGTGACACTGAAGACTGGAGTAATAGCTGATGAATATTCAGCTTTGCATCACAGAAATAAATTATATTTTAAAGTAGATTCAAATAGAAAACCATTATTTTAAATTGTAAGAATATTTCACAATATTACTGTTTTTTTCTGTATTTTCTATTAAAATAAATGCAGGCTTGATGAGCATAAGAGACTTCTTGCAAAAAAATGAAGGTTTTGGCTAGCACTGTATATAGTAATTAAATACCAAATATTGAATTCAATTTAATTGTTTTTTTTAACCAAAAGTATTTTTTTGTCAACATCAACTAACATTTCCAACAATACCAGAATTAAATATATATGGGGGGAAAAAATAATTTTAACATTTTGCTTACCACCTCTACCTCCTCGAAATCCCCCTCTTCCACCCCTGTCTCCTCCTCCTCGGCCTCCAAAACCTCCTCTACCTCCACCTCCAAAGCCTCCTCTGCTTCCACCTCCAAAGCCTCCTCTGCTTCCACCTCCAAATCCTCCACCTCCTCTCGGGCTGAATCCTGTCGAGAGAAATCAAATATTAATTAATTGAATCAATAACGGTAAAACTTTGTTTACGCCAAAACAAGGGACGGCGTCATACTCAGTAAACAGTAGTCAGCTGCAACAAAACCTGTATATTAGGAAAACCTTTAGTTATAAATGCTTTATGACAAAGTTAAGAAATATATTAAAAATAATGATATTATAAACAAGGGTTGGCAGTGGCACTGGGCCGTTTTTTATTTATTTATTTTTTAACATCCTCAACCACTAGTAAATACAAAGTTACATTTCACTCACTGGTAACTTCGGGTTTTGTATAATATTTGATTCTGCTACAAGTTGTCCACTAAACCAAAACTAACTTACTCGTTTTTACAAGGTTATCGACATGGTCTGACAGAGTTCCTCAACAAAGTGTGTAAACTCCACCATTAAAATAAGCCCTGTGCACAATGTCCAGGATGTCCGACCAAAATCAAATTGATAAAGAGTACGATTTTGATTTAATAATAATAAAAACAAACAACTAAGTAAACTAGACCAGTAATGTTAAAAACAAATGAATAGTTTCTCTAGTTAAAAGCCATGTGGGGCTTTAGCACCGCGTGCGCAGCATGGCTCGTTTGCTCGCACGCGCAGTCATACTGCAATAAATAATTGTTTACATTAAAACCGATTTGTATAAGACCACAGTAAAATGTTTAAATGTATACTAATAAAATAACAATCAATGTCATTACATTTCATAGAAAGGGCGATTCGTGCGCAAACACTTTAAGCGCGTGGCTAACTTGGCCGGCATGTTCACGAACAAAACCAACACATAAACACTTATGTTTTATAGCGCGGCCATGGAAACAAACATAAATGCATCAAAAACTATAAACAGCTTACCTGGTCTCATTTTATCTTACTATATGTAGCTGATCAGGTTTTAATTATACAAATAGCTGCCGATGATACAATCCCGCAGCTCTTCCTCCAGACTCGTTCAGTTCTGATCATGTGGTGGCAACATGTGCGTGGACCGTCTTACCCATAATGCACTTGCAAAAAACGTGGCTCTTGCTCCTTGTTCCGCCACCTAGAGGCAAACTACAATCATGCACTGCGTCATTCATGTGATTGGAATGAGCCAACAGTGTATAATAGAACTAAATGGTTATTAGTTTATGAAAGACTACACACTTAAAGAAAATTGCCACTGTACTAACACAGTATAATACCATGTTTGGACAGTAATGTATCTTTTTGTAAGTTGCAGTAGGCTACTACAATGTAAATATCATGTTTCATGAATATGGTAATCATTCAGCACTATGGCATTACCATGTATTTCATTAGGAAAGCACTTTGATCAGCTTCTAATTAAATGTGCTAGCTATACATTTGTTTCATATTGTATTGTATAATCAAGTGGCACTAATATACGTTTTCATAATTAAACAAAAGGAACATGTCAGCTATGTATGTCTATAGACTATATATAGACTTTAAAACTCAAAGGACTTAATTAACAAGGATTCACTTTATAAAAAGTGATGATAGGGGAAAATACAACAACAAAGTCAATGGTGGTGACAACTGAAAACTACAACTTGACTGAATGTTGCAAAAAGTATTTTTGGCTGAACCCATGCAGTTGGTTATTGGATCATTATTCAGGGAAAAAGCGTTTGTTTTATGCTCCAAGGTCACTGGGGAAATTTTATTTGAGGAGGGAACTATGTAATTTACTTTGCATTATTCTCTATAATTCTGTGATATTGAGTTCTACTGTAGAAGCCACGGAGAGCAGTTAATCTCATTCTTTAAACTCTTAAAACCTTTCTTTCTATATGGAGACCAACAATAGGCACGATTAGAGAATATTGTTTGTAGTCCGTCATGCACCGTGGTTTACAGTGACATCAATAGGAATTGCTTTAGTTTCTTATAGGCATTGCATATCATATTACTGGGTCTGTCAGTTGATGAAATACATTGTAGATGAAAGATTTCTTTGACTCAACATTACCACACTTTCCAAACTATAACTCACCAGACATGTGATGAGGAAAGCTTACAGTTTTGTCCAGCTGACACAAGGATATTAAGTTCTGCAGTAGGTTTTTAGGTTAATTCAGTATAAAATGTCTATGTATTACTGCAGATGCAGATTCTCTTTGCAGACTAACCAAAGTAACAAGAAAGGGCTTTTGGTCGTGCTAAAGTCACCATGAAATCCAAATGTGCCATTTTTTTAATGGAATATTGCAGTATTTATTATAAATGATTTATCGATGCACATGATTTCATTTTTTTTTTTAAATAATGTTTTCTTTCTCTTGCTCCGATGACGTGTTTTTTGGTGCAAGGGAGGGACAACCTGTCACTCACATGAGATCACGGCATTTAGCAAACCACAACCATCAAATCAATTCCCAATGGACAAAATCAAGCCCCACCCTACATTTTTTCTGTTCCAGAAGCTGCTTCAACTTGGATATACAGTAGGGGTGCTTCTCAATATCCCTCCTCCGTCCTCCATCCTATGACCCGGAAACCAATCGAGCTCAGCCATCTTGAAGGACATCTCAATTCTCTAATTGCACCGCGAGGAGGCGAGGATCGAGGAGTGAGGAGGCTTCCAGAGGAGCTATGAGCGAGGATACACAGGTGTACCCTTTGCGGAAGAGTTTTATCGACTAAACATGACGCACGTATCAATTTTCCTCCCCCTTCACATCTGTCACAATCATTTGAATTTATACTTTACTTTTGTAGTTTACATAAACCACACAACTCACATATTTCAACGAGGTATCTTGCTTTATTATTATTTATTATGAATGTCTTAAATAAACTAACTTTAACAACATAAGGGCAGATCCTTTGAGCACTGCCGATGACGCAGTGAAGTGACGCTCGAGTGATCAAGTATTCCAATGTATTAAAAAAGCTTTCATTCAATTCCTCCGTCCTCGTTTTTTTCCCTTGCAGCCTTCCCTCGCGTCCTACAGGGGGTGGAGCTGAGACGAGAGGAACGAAGCGAGGAAAGGAAACGAGGATGCACAAATAAGAAATGAGAAGCACCCTAGGCCTACCTGTCAAAATTTTTAATGTTTTTGAAAGAAGTCTTATGCTTACCAAGGCTGCATTATGTAATCACAAATAGTAAAAACATTAATATTGCAAATATATTTTTTCATCTTAATTTTCTTAAAGAAAACATACACACACAATGTCACCAAAAAAGTAACTGTACAGGATTAATTACTCATCAAGACACAGCAGTATTGTAGGCCTACACATGTGCGAGAACTGAGAAGATGACGCAGATGGATCTCGATGTAGTGTTTAAAATGGTTCTAAAGTGTGCATTTCCTGGATGTCCGAATCGTGAGAAACCAACGAGAAAACGTAAAAGTGCCTTGCCAATGCTGCAAAATGAATGGCTTACCTTTCACACTTTCCTATGTGAGTGAGCGTCATCTTCTGTTCTCACGCATGCGTCGTGGCGCTCTCGTGAACACATCAGAGGCCCACACGAAAGAAAATGAATAGTTGAATAAAGTCGTTATTTTTGGGGGGTTTGCGCACAAAAAGTATTCTCATCGCTTGATAAACTTAAGGTTGAGCCATAGTAGTCACTTGGACTATTTTAACGACGTCTACTAACTTTTCTGGGCCGGCAGATGCAATTACCTAGCAGCCTATGAAGGAGTGAGACAGCTCTCAGATTTCATCAAAAATATCTTAATTTGTGTTCCGAAGATGAATGAAAGTCTTACGGGGTTGGAACAACATGAGGGTGAGTAATTAATGGCATAATTTTCATTTTTTGGGTGAACTAAAGCTTAAGCTTTGCATCACAGGAATAAATTAAAATTTTAAATTGATTAAAACAATTATTTTAATTTGTAATAATATTTCACAATATTACTGTATTTTTGATTAAATGCTCCCTTGGTGAGCAAAAGAGACTTCTTTCAAAAACATAAAAAAAAATCCAAACTTTGAAAGCGCCTGCACATTGTGTCTGAGAAGGACAATAATTTTTTTTCACTTCCTGTAAATAAAACAGAAACAGAATTTTATTAAATCTGGTGGAAAAAAAAAGAGCTATAAATAACAGTGAAGGGTATTCCTCAAGCGAAATATGAATGTTAGACACACGATCTGGAAAATGACTAAAAATAGTATCTATGTGTTTCATAGATTTTCAATAAATGAATGATCAACAGTTACATTATGCTTTCTGTTTGCTGGGTGTTAATATCCAACTTTTAGAGTTTATGATACATATCTGTTAATTATTTTCAATACATGAGCATGTTTATGATTTCATACATGATGTGCAATTCTAAGCATCTTTAATATTCCCTTTATAGAGAATGGAATGTAACAAATAGGAAATGTTTTTTACCAGCAGTTTTACACATAAAATGCTGTAGAGTAGTTATAAACACCATCTGGGTCAATAAATCGCAATATATACAAATAACTTTAGAAATAGCCTTATAAACCTCATAAGCAATGATGCAAGGTCAGTAGCATGTGTTAAACAAGCACAGCACAAAGCTGCAAATATTTACATATTTAAATAAATTGCATTTAAGTCCAAGCTGAAATAGGTTTTCATTTTTTGCGCCTAAAAGGCAAAAACTTAACCATGTGCAATTTTGTTCTATTCTTGAAAACAGTTAATAGCAGTACCAGTGAGGGGTCAATGACAAAATGTAGGCTTATAGATTTATGTAGGCTTAACTTTATGTTGCGTTTATGTGGCTGAAGTGAGTTTTTCTATCACTGTCTATATTTCCATCTGCCAGTGCCACACAGGGGCAGCAAAAGATTGCAGATTGCAATGCATCAAAATTCTTGCTCGCATTCCAGTCTGTTCACATCACCATTAACAGTCTCTTCTGCTTCTGCTGCTGCTGCTGCTGCTGCTGCTTTTTCTTCCTTGTGCTCCTCCTCGGGCATCTCCTTTGGGCTTAGGGGCTCTCCCAGGGTTGCTGGGGGTGAAATAGGGGGCAGAGGGATAGCTTCCCCTTTCTTTGCCAGTTCTGCTAGCTCCCGTGCGGAGCAGGAAGGGGTCGGAGAGGGATATGTGTGGTGGAAGGTGTCATAATCCACCTCGTAGAATCCCTCCTCCAACGAGAGCACAGGGGTGAAGCGTTCTCCCCAAAGCACCTCTGAGTTCAGGTACGAGCTGCGGGCTTGACATGTCATTCCTGTGGGAAAAGACAGAAGAAAACGGTTGTGAGCAGCAAAGAAAAGAACAACAAAAATAGCAATGAAAACAGAAAGAGACACTGATTCCAAATTACCATGGTGTGGACAATCATATATTAGGCTACGTTCAGACTTCAGGTAAAAGTGGCCCAAAATCTGATTTTCTTTGCTTATAAGCCACCACATGGAATCTGATCACATCAATTCTGATTTGGGTCACTTTCATATCTGGTCCTAAATCAGATACAGGTCTGATGTTTTGCAATGCGACCTCAGTCTAAACAGTCATGTCGGAATTCATGCGACTTTTACGTCATCCGTCATAATTCTGACTGCGCTGATGGGAGTCACTCCAAATATTTTACATATTTGTGCTGCGTCCCAATTCTCCTACTTATACCATGCCCTAAAAGTATATACTTTTTTTGTGAAGAAAAAGTACATACTTTTGTGTGTGTGTAGCAGAAGAGGGTCGTGGGTCTTTCATGCAGAGAAGTCTGCTCATATTTTTGGATGATGTTGCATTTAAAAGGTAATGGCCAAACAGATCTTTTTAAAAGTTCACATTGTTGTTGCAGATGAAATATAACAAGGATAACATTAAATGAATATTTTTTGATCAGGTTAAAGGCACACTGTGGAATTTTTGGCCACTAGTGTGCGCTCGACCTGTAATTTTCACGTCTAGTGCCCCTAGAGGCCACAAGCGCCGCAGCATTGTCGCAAAAGTCAACAAACAGTCAACCGGTCAACCTCCCGTGTTTTCATGTGTGTGCAGACGGCATTTGATTTGTATGTTGGAGAAAGTTAATCGATTCACTACTGACCAAAATAATAATATAAATATAAGATTAATAATTAATAATCCTATAAAGAAAACAAATTGAATAAAAGTAGCATACGCAGAAAACAATGTCTGATCAGGTAAGTCGCATTGACAAGGGTTGCCCAATCCTGCTCCTGCCGATCGTCTGTCCTGCACAGTTCATCTCCAACCCTAATCAAACACACCTGAAGCAAACAATTAACTCTTTGCAATGGGTTGGAGATGAAATCGAGTAGTCGGGAAATCGTGTAACAAAACTGATATAACTCACTACATATTTCCGTTATTTGTAGTCTTCAGTTTGTTTTTCCTTTTACACAAATACAAACATATATGAGCTGAAAGGAAAAAAAAACATTTACATTTACATTTGTATACGGCAGTATGTTGTGACTTATATCAGTTTTGTTACACGAATTCGCAGTAAATATTACATTATATATACACTTTTATGCCGATGTTTATTTTAAACTCTCCCTTTTTCTTTTTTTGGTCTCCTCTGACAAAATCTTTGCTTTCTTCGCTTTCTTCCGAGTAGCTGTTGTTGATTCAGTCATGACGACAACATACAGACGCCGGCAATCAAACGCGAGTTGAGCTCTCACGTTAGGATTTGAGGAAGTTGGGGTGGTGGGGGAAGTGACGTATGCCGTAAAGCGGTCGAATTTTGTAGTTCTTTTTGTGCTCTGGTTCCTACCCGAAACCCGAAGTTACATAGTGCTAGTAAAAGCGATACAGACACCTTCAGGCTTCGGCAGACGTGTCATTCAACCTATTGTAAGTCGATGTACCATCTCAATGGGTTTTGGTAATATATTATAAAGGTTGAAAAGTTCCACAGTGTGCCTTTTAATGTTTATTATTTGTCACTCAAACCCCTTTATCTAAACCTCTACTTAACTGTCAGTCGCGCACATCCACCATGTTCGTAGTTTTCTAACACTTTTTACTCATGTTTGTAGTTCTGGACCAAAGCACACTTAGAAAGCTTAGACAGCTGCCTTGTTGCCTCGCTCTCGCTGCCTTATCAGGCCATGACTTTGCAGGCAGCTTCAGAGGCAGCATAACAATTTAATGATCTTCAACAAAACAGTGCAAGCGTTGGTGATAACTAAACAAATATTTAGTAATTTCTCACTAGAAATGACATCAAAAGTGAAACATTTTGGTCAAAAACATACATTTACACAAACTAACCACCAACCACAAATTTCATATGCCATGTTTATTTTACTAGCTCAACTGTCACAGAATGGAACGTGCAGAATTGTGTGGTATCAAAGGCAGTGAAGGATACATCTATGCTGCCTTCAAAAATCGATCAGATGAAGGTATCTCAGGATAACATTGGATTTGGACATGCCTTGAAGCCTTCCGACCTTGGAACGCATCCTCCGAAGGCAGCATTTTTAAGCTTTCGGACGCTGCCTTATTCTAAACTCACATACTATTTAGGATGGATAGTATGCACTATGTGGACGCAGGGCTGGTTCTTTGAATATGGGAGGGCGGCTGCAAAGTTAGTCAGTGGAGAAACGGTGCGCTGTTATAAACTCATAAGAATCATGGTGACAGGCAGCTAAGCAAACCTTGGAAAAACTGTACGAGAAAAACTTTCCTCTTTTTATCCTCGTCTGCGCACAGATTCGCTGGCTTCTGCAGCACATCACCTTATAAGAACCTATATAATTTACTTCTGCGTCCCGTATTTGCTATCGTTCTTTTGTGCATGCGAGGCAGTTCAGGATCGTGACCTGTTCACACTTGAATCTAATATTGGCCACATTTAAAAAAAAAATTAACATCAAACTAAAACATCAGATCTGTGCAATAAATCAGAATTGAGCACTAAGACTTAGAGAAAAATTTGAGACTTGAAGAATCAAGACTCTTGTTAAATTAAATCCAAAGTAGGACAAAGAGCAACATTTGAAATGTTAAAAAATAAATAATTTTTTTTTTATATTTTGATACCTAATGCTATGACATTCATACAATTTTTACTGTGGCTTATGTTTGTAATATAATATGTGAAATATAAAATAGAATTGATCATTATTTCTTCATTTTGAAAACAATACTAATTGAAAACAATACTATATTTTGTTATGTACAAAATCCACCTTTAGTGTAGTGTAAATATATAATATAGTACACATATGACCGTTGTATGAGCTGAAAATGTCTGCATGATGCTGTAAGTGTAGAGATAAAACAGCAATGCAAAAAATATTTCAGTTTCTATCCTGATGAGATCAGTTCAGTGTTGGCAACATATTAATCCCTCCATCAAGCCAACTTCTGTAACATTTGCTGAAGAACTACCTGTTCCATTTCATCTTCTTCAAATACCTAAAGATCACTGTGCGTCTAATTGTGCTTTTGACCTTTTAAGTTTTGTGATGATCCTGCCAATATGTCAACAGGAATGTACTGTACGCTTAATTAATTTGAAATATCATATTTCCTGTGAAACGCACATGCACCGCTGAATATTTATATGCACATATAGTATTATATGCACCTCCTAAAAATAGAATACAAGCTGTTTAATTTAAAAAAAAAAAAAAAAAAAATCTGCTTAAGTGATGCTTAAATATACGCATCAATTACTCCAGAGACACGCAGTGACAGAGCAACAAAACACTTAACAAGCATCACTTTTACAACCACTTTCAAAACACACACTGACTGATACTGTATATAGCAGCTGTCATAAATGAATATAAATGATATCCAGGAACATTCATCAAACGCATCAAAATTCATGAGTTTCCCAGTGTACAGCAGTTCAATAACCACACTGGGTATGCATCTATATAATCAATGCATACTACTGCAAAACCCCAAGAGAAGCTTCAGTTTCAGTGCTAATGCTCCGCAAATGACTTTAACACCTCCATTCGGACATTTTAAACATGAAGTGTGTTCATTTGAAAACATTTCACTGTGAATAAAATGCTTTGTTAGCCGCCCCGTGCAATTCCAAAACATTAGACCCAAGAACCAAAGCCTCGCGCCCTACTTTATAAAAGGAAAGTGGTTTTAAAACATGCTAAGAGCAGCACCCCGTGAGCAGTTTAAAAGGCTTCATTTAGGGGACGTTCCAGGTTCATCACAGGTTAAGCTCTCTCGACAGCATCTGTGCCGTCGACTACCACAGCAAATTTTCATCCCTCAGTTTGTAAAAACATGTTTGAAATAATGGAAGTCTATGGTGCAATTAATTGCAGAGGGTTTAAAAGCTGAAATGTGAAGCTTGAATTTTCTGTTAAGGCATTTACATTAATTCTTTCATACAGAAAGACTATTTAAGCTGTACCTTGGTCTGAATCATCCTTTTAGTGGTGACACTATTGTTCTAAGTGGATGAACCTCGGGGTTATGCAAGTAGTTCCTTCGATTTGTTCATGACAGGAGTACATTGGAAATAACTTGCACAGATATGATTAGTAAACACTTTTATCACACCTAATACATCTGCCCCCGGTTTCACAGACAAGGCTTAAGCCTCAGACTAAAATGCATGTTTCAGCTGTTTTAACTGAAAGCAACTTGCACGGTCATATCTTAAAATATGTCAGTACCATTGTTTTGTCTCAAGATGCACACCAGTAATGTTTCTTTTCTAAGGCGTTTATAAAAGCAACTTAAATGTCCTAAATTGAACTAAGGCCTAATCCTTGTGAAGAATGTCAGTAACCAAACAGTTGATGGACCCCATTGACATCCAGAGTATACTATGGAAGTCAATGGGACCAATCAACTGTTTGGTTACCCATATTACCCATCATCTACATGATGAAACAAATGACTTACCGGTGATAATCATACATGGCCACAGAAACAAACAAGGAGATAATCAGTAACCAAAACTGTACGGAGCAGAGAAACAGGAACTAAACGACACACAACAGAATATCAAAATAACAGTTAAAGTCCAGTTCCAAACCTGTATGACACTTTTCCTTCTGTGGAATTCAAAATAAGATATTTAGAAGTGTCTCAGTGTTGTTTTGACCATACAATGAATCATATAATCCATACATGTTGTTTTGGACCATTGACATTCATGATATGGACAATTTTTTTCAAAATATCTTCTTTTGCATTCCACAGAAGTGGAGGTCAACAACATGAGGGTGAGTAAATTATTAGAGCGAGTTGTTGCTCAGGTTGAGGCTTAAACTAGAATTGTTATGAGAACAATTATAATTGTTATTAGACTTGTACTCTAAGTTCAGTGTCTCCCTGATGTCATTACCCTGATTGGCCATGAGTTACCAATCTTACTTCCATTACTTATCACTGTAAGACATGAAAAGGGAGATATGAAAAAGAAATCAATAATTATTCTTTATAATTTTCCAATTTTGTTAGGCCTTGAGGTACAGTCCTGACCTTAATAGTTTGGTATCATTTCTGAAACTGATTATTTTACTATTATCCTGCTTTTTGTCTAATAATAGATAGGTTAAGCCTACATCGACTGAAAGTGGGATGCTCTTGAACGTCAGATGTGAGACGAACAAGTGCAATGATTGTGGACTGAATCTAGCTACTCACTGCATCCCACTCCTGAGCAATGATTCATTATTTCAGATGTAGGAGAGTGTGTGTTTGTGAGCCATGTGTGTATTTATCATACGTGAGAGTGAATTGCATTATAGTTCTTTCAATTGTCTTCTGCTCGCTAATTTCCCTGAGGCGGATCTATTGACAGGCCATGAGCTTGTCTTACTGAGAAACATCTCAAGAGTCCTCCGTCTTTCTGCTCCATGCAGGCAGCATTATGTGTCTATACTGACACAGAGCACAATGCAAGAGCTAATTAGCCTAGTGTAATTGCAACTGCTGTCACATGAATTCACTGCCAATATAATTGGTGAATCCCATGAAAATACCACACCACGCCCCGCTGTCAGCATTCTGTTACCAGGGGAACTGTGGTAAATCTGGTCACTTTTCATTTTTGACTTTCTGGCAACATCCATTTAAATACCCCTGACTCATGAGCTCTGATATACCTGGAGAGAGGCATTCACAAAAATGTTTTGTTTTTTTCCATTTCACATTGTTAAAGGAAAAGTTCACCTGAAATTTAAATTCTGGCATCATGCTCTCATGCTTTTCAAAAACCTTATGACCATCTCTCTACCCTAGAAAATAAAAGGTGATTATTTTGAAGAATATCCTGGCAACTCCTTTTAATACAATTAAAGTAAATGAGGACTGAGGCCGTCAAGCTACTTAAAGGACCCAAAAGCACCATAAGATTTTCATAAAAACGGCTTGCATGCTATATTCCAAGCATTCTGAATTTTTTCATATCATTCAACAACTGCAACCAGATCAGAGAGTTTAAATAGATCATTCTTATTCATTAATAAATCGTTTGTTTTTTTGTGAACTGAACCAACAGGTTCATTGAAAAGATTCAACAAAAAAATTATTCAACTGCCTTTTCATCACACAAAGGTATAATTAAGTTGATGAAGACTTAAAATATAGTACATGATTCATATAATCACAATATACAATTTTATGATATAATTTTGTAGTTCTTTGTTGTAATTTTTGAGCTTGACAACTTAAATTCTTAAAAAATTGCATTCCACGGTAGAAAGACAGTCATACAGGTTTTAAATGAGAATTTTCCTTTTCCTTCCTACATTTTAAATAAATACATAAATGGATTTTTTTTTTAAACATTTTTAAATTAAGAATTGGTTAAAAATCTACTTTAATAATCAAATATTTGTAATTTAAATATTGCTCTTTAACTGAAATACATGACTTTTGAATGCCAGTCAATGGAGAAAAGTTGTTTTGCCTGCATACTGTTGTAGTTATGATATTTGCCAGCAGGGGAACAAAACTCATCGTTCTAGTTACCCTCGCTCTCTCATTCTCTGTTATCTACACTCACCTGTGGCCTCTACCATTCCTTCCAGGATGACCACTATTTCAAACTCTTCTCGTGCCAGTTGCCCCTCAGAGATGTCCCAGAAGGGGCTGTTCTTGTTGATCTCATGGCAAATGATCAGCGGTGACACCAGAAACAGTCGATCGTCCCCCGTGTCAAAGCCCACATTAATGTCCGTCTGGTTTAGGGGGATGAACTCTCCTTCCTTGGTCTGTTTAGAGCGGATGAGCTTGGCCCTAATGGAGGCCTCCACTATGTGCGAGTTTCGCAAGTCACCGACACGGAACATCAAACACAACTTGCTGTCCCGCACGGATACCACAGCTGTGTTGGAAAACATGAGCGTTTCGGCACGTTTATTTGGCTGTGAGATTTTCACAAACATGCAACCGACCATGAAGGCATTGACGATGGAGCCCAAGATGGCCTGCACCAGAAGCAGGATGATGCCCTCGGGGCATTTGTCCGTTATGACACGATACCCATAACCGATCGTGGTCTCAGTCTCGATGGAAAAAAGGAACGCAGAGACGAAGCCATTAAGGTTATTCACACAAGGCGTCCACTCGTTGTCATCAGTATGGTCCAGATCTCCACGGATGTAGGCAATGAGCCACCAAATGAGGCCAAAAAACACCCAGGTGGTGGTGTAGACCAGAGTGAAGACCAGCAGATTGAAGCGCCACTTTAAGTCCACAAGCGTGGTGAAGATGTCCGTCAGGTAACGGTAGGTTTCGCGCACGTTTCCATGGTGGACATTGCACTTGCCGTCCTTTTCCACGTAGCGCTGGCGCCGTTTCTTCAGCGGACCTCCTGCAGGACCGGAAGCGTCTCCTCCTCCCCTGACAACCATCGTATGGTCTGTGGGGATCTACAGTCATGTGCGATTGAATAAAGCAAGAATAGAAAAAGAAGACAGAAAAGAAACATTTCAAGATAGGCTAAAAGAAAAAAATATGGAATTGCTCCATTTATTAGGCTACTATTATTTCAAATAATTACTGTTCTTTTGAACTTTCTATTTATCAAAGAATCCTGAAAAAAAAATCAGTTCCCATAAAAATATCAATCTATTTCTTGAGCACCAAATCAGCATATTAGAATGTTTACTGAAGGATCACGTGACACTGAAGATTGGAGTAATGATGATAAAAAATTCAGCTTTGCATTACAGGAATAAATTACATTTTAAACTAAAATATGATAAAATTGTAGTAATATTTCACAATATTTCTGTTCGTCTGTCTAGATATTTGATCAAATAAATGCAGCCTTGATCAGCTTAAAAGACTTCTTTCAAAAGCATAAAAAATGTACCAACCCCAATCTTTACAATGTAGTTAGTCGTTAAATTGACTGTAGCTGAACTACTGTAAACTATGAGTATCTTGTAGCTTAGCAAGCAACAGTTCCAAAGTAGCTTTCCCAACATTCACACATGTAAAACAACATAAAAGAACAGTAAATGTGATAACTGAACTTACTTTGTCTCTGGAATCAATCCATTTCTTTGGCAGCTTGATGCCCTGTTTTTCCACATCCTGGCCCTTAAAACTACTCATGGCCCGGAAGCCGTAGACGTCGTCACCAATCCAACACAGTAGCTGGAGCTCTCCAACTATTAAAAAGCAAACATGAAAGCTGGTCGGTTAAACTCGTAATGGAGAGCAAAGATTGGAGTAACTTACCACAAATGGTCAGACAAATGTACCTGCACTAAGCTTGTTTCACTTTTCTAAGGAATTTCCATGTATATTTATATTTACAGCATGGGATACTGGTGGTGTCCACACCGGGATTCTTAACTAGCTTAAATTGCAAGAATTCACTAACCAGAAAGACCATCCCAGATAACATGGAACATTCTCAGAAGTTTGGCTAATGTTCAGCCAAGCTTCTCTCAAAGTTATAAAAAACATTTCTTCCACTAACGTTAATAGAATATTTGTTCAGTTATCTGGTCTTTAATATTGTTCTCAAAATGTCAGCACATGATGTTCACATAACAAGGAAAAAATGCTTTTTAAACATTTCAAAACTAGATGCATTGAGCATTCAAAGAACATTCAGAAATAAGCTTTTTTATAACTTAAAGGTGCTCTAAGTCATGTCACGCGTTTTCAGGTCAAAATATCCTATCCACTATAGCTGCCTGTCCCCTGAACACACTGTAAAAAAACGTGAGGGTCTCATGTAGACACCCCAGGCTCCACAAACGGCAACAAAAACAAACTGGGCCAACCCACACCACGAAACATAACAAACAGTGTTCCAGCCAATGACCGACAAGAAGGATTTGGGGGGTTAGTGCGCGGATAAGCAGGGAGGGTCTAGCTAGCCTCCGTTTTGTTTGACAATAGTTCAACATCAACAAGAAGTGACGTCACTCAACATTACTTAGAGCACCTTTAACGGCAACATTTTGTTGGTGAACAGAACGGCTATGCTGGTCCACCAGCCCAGACTAGGACTAAACCAGCACAGTCTATTCAAAAAGGGCTTTACCATAAGTATTTTAGCATACAAAAATAATAATCATATATATCACTCAAAGTCCAATGACTTGATAGTCAACATTTATCTTAAAGAAAAGGCTACAAAACCCTTTACACGATTTTGTATCAGCCTCATCTCTCTTACAAATCCGTATAACGCTTTATTTCCACATTATTCATCATGTTCACTGACTGTAGAATTCCTTATCTGTTACCACAAGTTAGCCACGGGTCTCCAGTGACACTGCGGCTCTCCCTCTCTGCCCAAGCATCACCCAACAGCACCGACACCAGGTGCGGGCGAGTACCAGTGGGTTTCTTCATAGCACCCAAGTGAAAGCAATATTAATGATGGTTCCCCATGGGGAACATGGAGCAAGGCAGTCTGTGGCAGATGGGGACAGACGGCACCCACTAGGAGATCCGATCAGACAGACATACACGCGTACAGAGAAAGAGAGAGAGAAAGTGACAGATAACAACTTAAAAGCAGATAAACTAAAGCGATGTGAAATGATTTATTGTGTGAACTAATGAATTATTTATACAGTGCTAATATCTTGACTTGTTTGTTTTTCCATTATTGTGGCATGACAAATTTCCTGTGCAAGATTAGAAGGGTGTGTAACAAATATCTTCAGGAGCCAAGAAGACAAACCGTCCCTATTTACAGTAGCAGGACCATAAACAAGCTACAAGAAACTTTATATATGTTGCAGAATATTTTCTTCAATGTGTCCAAGCGATAAAAAGCAATTTGGCTGGTTACTTGCTATTTTTGCTGCTCTAATGATAAACAAACTACAGCATAATTACCCGATGCAACATATAGTAGAGGTGTTACAGATTGAAACAATGTTTTTAAATGAATAATTTGAGTGAATGATTTAAAGACTCACTGAAAAAGACATTTGTTGTGTTCCTGAATTAATCAGTTGCTGAATTCGGAACTGCATGTTAGCATACTACTCTCACTATTCCTGCAATACACAGATATGGAAAAAAATAGCAAGAGTATTTTGTGGATCTGAATTCAGAAAGTGTTTTTGAATGAATCGGTTAGATGAATGATTCAGTGACTCCGTGATTCAGTGACTTCAGTGGCTGCAACCCGAAATCGCATACTTCCCTACTACATTGTAGGTGAAAAACAGCATGCGACAAAATAACTATGTACTAATTCACAGTACTCATAAAAGTGTAAGCAAAAAATACTCGGATGACCTACTACTTCCGGCAAGATTCTGAAGTGTGCATACGATGGACACTTTACTATCCCATGAGGCCACGGGAGAGAATTTGTGAATGACAGTGAAGCGACACAAATGACGCTGGTAGGTCACATGATAATGACAACATTGTGAATGTAGTACGTCCGGATTACATTCACACTACACACATTCACACTACACATATTCATACTACACAAAAAGTATGAAAATGTGTAGTGTGAATGTAATCCGGACGTACTACATTCACACTACACATATTCTATATAGTATGATGAATATGTGTAGTGTGAATGTAGTACGTCCGGATTACATTCACACTACACATATTCATACTATGTAAAATAATACTTTTTTAGCACTAGCAGTACTCATTCAAAATACAGTAAGTATCTATTTAAGGGAGTTTGCGATTTTGGATGCAGCATGTCACTTGTTTAATTCCTGAATGAATCATTGTATTTGAACAAATCGGTTGAGTAAATAAATAAATAAATGACTTGTCACCCCCACGCACTGCCATATCGATGTAACCTGCAGAAAGAGTCACTGAAAAATCTCTGCAACTGTTGTATAAAAAAAATCTTAAAGGGTTAGTTCAACTAGAAAATGAAAGTCTCACCCTCATGTTGTTCCAAACCCGTAAGACTCGTTCATCTTCGGAACACAAATGAAGATCTTTTTAATGAAATCTGAGCGATTTCTGTCCCTTTAATGACAGCAATTCAACTGACACTTTGACGCTTCAAAAAGTTCATAAAGAGATCCATAGAAATTGAGTGGTTTAGTCCAGATTTTCTGAAGAGACGATCACTTTATATGGTGAATTTAGGCTTTTTAAAATAAAATAAAAAATCAACTTTTCAATGTATATATTGACTGTTACAGTTGAATTTCTATTAATTTTAATTGCACATACTTTCAAATTTGAGTTGCAAACTTGCAACATTGTCCTCTACCTCAATTTAAATTCAAATGAAATTCAGGAACTGAATTGGGATTCTGAATTTAATTCTAAACAGCACACAAACCCTGGTGGCAGGATTGCATAAACAGGCTTTACCAGACCTTTAGTGTGGAATTTCATATACCGGAACAATGAGTCCGATACTATTAAAGAGGCTTTGCCATATAATTGGATAAGTGCTATGGGCAGACACAGACTCTAGGGTTGACCAAACTGCAAAGACAGCAGCAATGCTTCCTGCTTTTCATGTCTGTAGATAATCCGTAGGTCAACACAAACACAAACTGATTTCATCAGAACTGGAATACCGGACATTTACAAAGCTATACATCTTCTGTCCCTTGCATGTTCACCGATTAAATATTTTGACTAATTTCATTAAGCTTTCATGTAGCACTAAGAGCGCAGTAAATGCCAAACTTCGTCTGGTTTCAGCAAATCAGAACCCCAGGGCTGAATTAACCAGGACACTGTCGTCTCTGCCCTATAGCTACATTTTGCAGTCAAACACCCTGCAGCTCGGCCACAACTGTGCCAGTCACTCTGCCTAAGCTGGTGCATCATCACAAACAGGAACACTGGATATCACCAGGGGTCATTGTAAAATGTCACCAACTGGAGTGAGCAGCAGGAGAGCACTCTTGTTCCTCTGTGCCTCTCACTGAGACGGAGCAGAGCGAACAACCATGACACGCCGTGAGAGATTGAAGCACTTTGCTTTGCATTTTTTTGATCATGGTTTCATTATGACTTAAATCTCTACTGGGCTGGAATGATGTGTTGACATTATCGATTACGTCAATTACACACTGTTTATATTCATCCCTAATCCCCGGTCATGTTTCACAATTCACACAAAACAAAACTAGAGCAGATGCTAGTGGATAGTATGGCAGCGCCGCTTAATACGAGCCTGCACATTTTCAGGACTCACAACTGCATTCAGCGACAGTATCAAAAAACGGCAATGTTCATAACATCTGGAAATTTGATCACAATTGGCAGTGCGTTAAATTATCAAGTCTAATCGAGGCGTGAGTTCATCCATCAGATATTGTTAAAGAACCAACAAGGACTGTAAATGCTTAGTAACCGAGTGCAGAGAGTACGTTTGAGCTGCGTGCCTTTTTGAGCTGAACGCAAATAATTTCTCCATCTCCGTGAGTAAACTAAACCCGTCATGATTATACAGTTCACTGTGGCTCTCACATTATATGACGTGGCAGACAGCTAGTGGTCCAATGCGATTCCATTCATTCAGTGCAGGTTTGTCGAGAATGCGGTGTATATATATTTACATTTAGTCATTTAGCAGACGCTTTTATCCAAAGCGACTTACAACTGAGGACTAAACCAAGCGAGTCATCGTGAAGAGGCAAAAACAACGCAAGAAGTGCTCAAAATACAAAGTTCAGACATTGCTCAGAGTAGCATAAGCCAGACAAGCGAGGATTTAGAGGAAAGGATTTTTTTATTTTTTTTATTTTTTTATGTTATGTTAAGTGCTCCCGGAAGAGATGAGTTTTCAGTTGTCTTTTGAATGCTGTCAGGGATTCTGCATTCCGGATGAGGGTGGGGAGATCATTCCACCAGCATGGAACCGTGAATGAGAATGTTCTGGAGAGTGATTTTGTGCCCCGCTGTGATGGTACCACGAGCCGTCGCTCATTGACCGATCGTAGGCTTCTGGTAGGGATGTAGACTTGTAGTAGTGAGTGGAAGTAGGAGGGAGCTGAACCTGTGGTCAATCTGTAAGCAAGCGTCAAAGCCTTGAACTTGATGCGAGCAGCGAGTGGTAGCCAGTGCAGAGAGATGAACAGAGGAGTGACGTGGGCCCTTTTGGGCTCGTTGAAGACAAGACGAGCTGCAGCATTCTGGATCATTGTAGAGGTTTAGTTGCACATGATGGAAGTCCAGCCAGAAGAGC